TTAGGCTACACAAAACTCAAAAGGCGTAAAACCTAATCTAAATATAGTAACATTCCAGTATCTCTCTCCCTTCTCTCTCTCTCTTTATATATATATATATATATATATATATATATATATATATATATATATATATATATATATATATATATATATATATATATATATATATATATATATATATATATATATATATATATATATATATATATATATATATATATATATATATATATATCGTATATATATTTTAGGGTACGTTGAAAGAATCTTCAATTTTTTTCATCTAATGTAATTTTTTTGGTATGCTGCAAAAAGGTGATTTTTTTGGCTATATTGCAATTCTCTTTTTGTATGTTGCAAATAGAACTGCAAATTTTTATGATTTCATTCTTTGTTTTGAATAATGCTCGGATCACATGATCACTAAATAGCAAAATTTTTAATTTTTAATAACGCCTCTTAACTTGTTGGGTCAACCCGGACCCGATAATTCTGGGTCATGATTCATGAACAAGCACTCTTAGACCCGAACCTGAAGTGACCCGAACTCGAAATAACCCGAACCTGATTATACCGAACCCGACCTCACCGACCGTTTTGCCAAGTCTAGGCTCCCACCGTTCCATAAATTTTGATTATTTCTAATATCTTAAAACACTTCCACTTTCTATTAAAAAACGACTTTTATCCATACTTTTTCATACCTTACCTATCACATCATACTTTCTCACGAATAACTAAACTATCAAATATTACTTTTACATATCACATTAGGAGCAAAATGGGAAAGTCAACCAAAAATAAGCCTTACTTATTTTGGTGCAAAGCCAAATGAGAAAGGTGAGGTACAAATTAAAGTAAGTATTGATACCTGGTGAGAGAGGTATACAAACGACTTGTGATATATTCAATCCCCGGCTCAAGATCGACTCTCGAAACTTGGGATACCCCATGATCAAGTCGCCTGCCTCAGCGAGTTCATCACTCGTAAATGGTGGGAAACCGTAGCCGCTATGCACCTTATCGGACACGACAGAGCTGGCGACCAAGTCCACGACTACTTCTCGAGTTTCCCCGCCGGCCCGGACAACGGCCCGGGCTTCCCGACTATGAAAAGATCCATTATTATTCCTGGACAAGGACGACCAGGCGATCACGTCCTTCTTCTCTGGCTCTTCAAGGTCAACGTAACGAAAAGTTACGTTTCCAAGGGAACCAATATTGGAGCGGAGGATTATGTCCCGGGTTTTGTTTATTTCGGCGGGGCTTAGAGGGTCCAAAGGGTGAGTAGTAGTAGATATGGATATGCCGCGAGTTCTAGTGATGAAGTAGAAGACAAAGATTTTGAGGAGAAGTTGGAGAACGCTTAACGTTTGTGCTCCCATCATCTTCGATTCTTTGAGACTTCGCTATGAAATGTTACCTTACCACGTCTATATATTACCTAGTGCGGGTTAATTTTTTTTCTTTTTCTTTTTCTTTTTGATGAAAGAGTAGGGTTAAAATTTTACATTTACTCCAACTCCATTATTCTTTAAGGACACATTTGGTGAGTTTTAGAAATATGAGAAGATATTGATTCTGAAGTCTGAGAAAGTGATCTGAGTTTTGAAATCTAAAATGAAAGTGTTTGAAGAAAAAAATAGAAATAAAATAAAAAAATCTCAATGGATAAGTGTAAAAAAGTATGAAAATACTAAAATATGAGTCTTAAGTATTTTAAGACATACAACAATAAAAATATAATGACAATGTGATTTAAGAGTACGTGTTTGTAATGTGATTGAAAAGTTATGAATGTATAATATCATAATGTGATCACTCAATCGTCGGTGATCTGCGGCGTCGACAAATGACGTACTATGTAGCAGACAAATGACGTACTATGTAGCAGTGATAGTATAATTGTTGCAGTGTAACAATGGTGAGTGTGGAAGTAGGACAGTGGTAGTGTAAAATCCCAATTTCTTCCGAAAAGACTTAGGACTCATATTTTAATAAATTTATAATTTTTTTACTCTTATCAAGGAAATTCTTTCAGAAATCAAATCAGAATAATAAGTATTTGTTGAACAATATTTTAGTATAGATATACTTTACCGTGTATTTGTTAAAAATGTAGAATAGGGTTTTACTTGTGAAACTGTGCTTTTCGTTAATAAAATCTAATCCCTCCGTCCCACAAAACTATTCTCCTTTCCTTTTTCATCCGTTTCAAACAACTCTTCCCTTATTATATTAAAAAGTCACTTTTACCCATATTATTCTTAACCTACCTATTACATCACAATTTTTCTCTATTAATCTAACCATCACATCCTACTTTATCCATCACATAAAATGGCATTTTTGGAAAGTCAACACCAAAATACACTCTCCTTAAATTCTTTAAAAGTCAAAATGAGAACTTTTTTGTGAGACGGAGGGAGTACATTTTCTTCACCAACCCTAAGTGGGAATTTGAATTCTGAGCAAGCGAAACGGGATAATAGCATAGGTGCCCCCGTGGTTTACAAAAGGAGCACCAAACCCCCCTCTACTTTTAAAAGTTATCTATAAAACCCTTGTGGTTTTTATAAATGGTGCACAGATGCCCCCTCTTGCCTATTTTTAAACATAAAATAACATTTCTACCCTTTGTTTTTCTCTATCTTCAAGTTTCAATCTTTTATTTACAATTTTTGTTATACAAATAAATAAAATAAAATATACGCCTTCTTTCTCAAATTAAAAATTTTCATTTATTTCATTTTCAAAAAAATAATTTTTTTAGAACATGTTATAAAAGAAAATTAAAAATTAAAAAATGAAATAAAATACACTTTTCCATTATAAGTAAAAGTAAAATAAAAAAATAAAAAATTAGATAACATATACTCACTCTATCTCTTATTAAAAATTTTAACTTATATGTTTTTTAAAGTAAAATAATTTTTTAAGGATTTTAAAAAAGGAAGAATAGAAAGATGAAATAAAACACGGAGCTAAAGAAAAAGGTTGTTTTATATATTTTTCTTTCTTTTCATTACCTTTTTCAATTATTATTTTTACTTTGTTCATAATATTTTATTTTTCATTTTTCTTTTGTAACATTCTCCAAAAAAATCTTTTGTTTTCGAAAATTCTTTATGAAAATTTTTGATTTAAGATGACAAGCGTATATTTTATTTTATATATTTATATAATTAAAGAAAATAGAATTGGGAAAATTCAAGATCGAGAAAAAGAAAGGGCATAAATGTCATTTTTGCTTTAAAAATATGTAAGGGGG